CCTTTATCCGCTCCTCCGCGGCTGTCTCCCGCAGGCCCAGGATCAGGGCAGCTTCCCGCCGGTCCATGGTCGGGTGGAAGCCGCCCTATAGTACACATGATGGTTGCATGATCGAAAGGCAGGACTCTTGACAGGCTGCGGGCGGCTGCCACAAACGCAGGGCGTAGGTACAGCGGAGGAGGTGCAACGCAAGCCCAGAAGAGGCGCCATGGGAGGGAGCCGTCTGCAATGCGCCCGTGCCTCCAGCTAGCCGTGCGCTGCTATCGCACCCTGTAGAAGGCCCTGACGCTGGCAGGGCGGGCCATGAACTTCACATACTGCTGCACTGCTGTCCTGGCAACAAGCGCGGCAGCGGCGACACCGAGGCCGGCTGCGAGAGGCGCGCTCTGAGGGACAGGAGGCAGCGGCGGGCGGGCGCGTTCGGTCATGTTATCATCCTGCCGAGTGCTGAGCCATGCACGCGGCGATACGCAGACGTCGGGAGATTTCTGAAGCGCGCACCCACCATGTTCGTCGGCTCAAGAAGCAGCTTCTGCAGCTAAATATCAATTTCTTGAAGGTCTATATGGTTCTTTGCGACTTGCACCCCCCTCAGCAGTGATCTAATGCCCGCTTCTTACGTGAGTGGCTGCTGTTGGATTTTTCACGCTGGAGAGAAATAGCAAGCCGGAGAAAGGACTGCAAACGCCTCATGATGGTGTCAAGCGCCTGCATCAAGCTGTAGCCAGGCTGGCGAAAGCATGCTGTGTCAGGTGACGAAGGGGTGACGTTGCAAGCGCGTTCTTAAGCAAGACCGCATGCTACACATGCCCTGCATGCGTGCTGCACACGTCCACCGCTACTGAGCCACACAGCATTGCCTTCAGCGACCACGAGGCAACGGCACCTTCCCACCCAGCCATTGGGGGCGGCGGCAGCTCCTCAGCTCTTCGCACCGCCCGCCACCCCGCCGGCGCCGCCGCCCTGCTGCTGCGGCGCGAGGCCGCGCTCCCGCAGGTGCCTGTTGAGCCGCCGCACCACGCCCGGGAAGTACCAGCGTTCCGTGACGGCGTTGGACACCAGGGGCGGCACAGTGTTGGCCCCAAGGTCGAGCCAGTTGACCATCTGGCAGGGGGCAAAATTCAGTCGTATTGGCAGCTGGTTGAGCAAAAGCCAACCCGCCGGTTGCAGAATAGCCACAGACATCATCGAAGCGGTGAATGGGTGGATAAAATGAGCACCATGAGTGTGTGGCACGGGCACAACCTCCGCATTTCAAGCTTCTGAGTCGCTGTCTCCGCATTCGACCCGCAAGCGGCGCCCGCTTCGCGATGGGCGTGCCCTCGGCACAAACGCCGCCGCCAATCAACGCCCTGCTGATGTGCATGCTCATCTCCCACCTGCAGGTGGCTGGCCCCTGGCCGCCCCTCTGAGTCGAGCGCCGGGCTGACGCGCATCGCAAACAACAGGTTGGCGCGCACGTGGCCCTTTGCGGCCTTCTGCAGGGGCCCGTCCTCCACCAGCACCGACTTGCACACGAAGAACCGGTCCTTCCTGCTCTCCGCGTCGCAGGTCACATACTCCCTCGGCCGCAGCAGGCTGTTGAAGCGGGGCGCCTCTGTGAACACGACGTCGGCCGCGCCCTTGCCGCGCGGGGCGCGCAGCTTCTGCGGGCAGGGAAGGGAAGGCGGTCGTGCAAGGAGTGAGGCCCTGTCGTAAAGGGCCAAGTGCAGTGTGAGGCAGCACTTGGACATCAACACATGGAATGCTGAACAACGGCTGCCTGATGGGGCGACCCCTGCCTGGCCGCTGTAGCAACGGTAGTAGGTGACACAGGCCCCATTTGTGCCCATGCCTGTGACACTCGCCGGTCAATTCGCCCGCCTGTCTAAATTCCTGCCCGCATGTGCAGTCCTCCGGCCCCACGGGCCTCATGCGCACCTTGACATGCAGGCTGTGCTTCTCCCGGGGGAAGGGGTCGATGATCCGTTTCCCCTCCATCGTCCTCAGCAGCCCAAACAGCTGATCGGGTGCCACGGGCACGTCCGCCTCCAGCCGGGCAAGGGTCAGCTGACAGCCGTCGACGCATGCATCCCATGCGCGTGCATGTGCCAGGCGCGGCGAAGGCGCGGGCCGGGTTCGGGGTCGAGCGTGGGATGTGGCGGAGAAAATGAGTGTGCCAGGCGGCGGACGGACGAGTGGGTTACTCATTGGCTGGAGTCTTGTACCTGGCCAATTTGAATCTTCCTTGCACTTGTATGCCAGGGGATCGTCAGCACAAGCCTCGCGCCCAAGCTCACAGTGCAAGCCGCACAGCACGAGCAGCACAGGGAGCAGCGGTCACAATAAACAGCATCGGACAGCCCAGCCACCTTGGTGCCAGCGACAGGTTTGCGGTGCACAGACCATCCGGGCTGCTTGCAGAGCACATCAAAATCCTCCAAAGGCGCGTCCAGCACACTTTTGCTCTCATCCATCACGCGCTTGAAGTAGGCCTTCTCGTTTCGCGGCACCTCAGGATCTAAAACAGCAGGCAGCGGTGCAGCCGCATGCTGCTTTTTGAATAGCCCAAACATTCTTATCAGAGGGTGATGGGGCTTTGTGACTGATCTACGTGATCATGAGCTATGTCGGAGTTGCCTACGGAGGCTGGAGCTTGGTGAACAATACAAGACAGATGGCACGAATGACAGAGGCACCCACGAAGGTTGCCGGTGACGGTCGTACATACCCTTGAAAAGCTCGCCTGCAATGCGATGTCGCACGTGGCCAGCGACGACTCACCTGGACTGGGTGGTGACAAAGCTGGTTGCATGATAGCCGTTTCGTCTTGAGGTCCTCAGGAACTGCCAGGAGAATGTGGGCTGCTGGATCTTGTGGACGATCACCTAGCGTGTGAATGGTACAGATCCTGTTCGTTGTTTTGATCATTTGACGCCCGTTGACCTCACGTCTTTGCTCATCTCAGAAGTGGAACATACCTTGATGGTTCACTTATATATGGTGTCACAGCATGCGGTGTCTGTTACAGCACGCCTTGACGAGGGCTCTTAAGAAAACATCCACACCGCCAGCCAGGAATCGGGCGCCAATGCATGCACCACCGGGGTGATAGTAAACGGAAGACCGCACAAGAGCGTTTGCGACACGAGCTACGTTGCCGCGGGCAGCGACCGCCGTGTGAATGAACAACCCCATGGGGAAAAGTAAAAATAACGACTGGAGAACCGACAGTCATGCCACCACCAGAAATGCTAGGCGCTGGGTCCTGCCATCCATCATCCCAATGCAGCGCTTGCAGTGGGAAGCCCGCATTGAGATCATCAGGGGCGCGTGCACGTGGGCTCCTCTCCCAACCCCTCCCTTAGCGAAGGAGTCCCAAGGGGTGCGCCCTGAACTCCGCCATGAGCATGCCCCCTGCATCCAGCTCTCATGCCTTGCGCAGCTTGACGCATCCTCAAGCCTGCCGGGCACCGCCTGGGTCGGGCACAGAGCGCAGAACGCCTCCAGGGCCACGCCCTCACTTCTTCTCGTTGATCTTGGCCAGCAGCTTGGCGGGGTCGGCCCCAATCACCGTGGCCACCACCGCGCCGTCCTTTGAGGGGGGTGGACCCAAGGAGGGCGCAGGCAGTTTGAAGTGCTCGCATTTCACCGCGTTGCGCGTGCGCGCACGTTCCGGCAGCGAGGGGCGCTGCCCGGCTGGTGGGTTTGTGCAGCGCCCGGCTGCCCCCCACCGACGTGAACCGCACCGATGTCCTGGCGGCCCCCGCATCGCGCCACAGAGGAATGTCTCGCCAGCGCAGCGCCAAGGCGGCAGCCCCTGGGACCATAGACGCGCTCGTCATCCCCCAAGTGTGCAACCCCCACTCATGACCCCTGACCTCCCCCTCTCCCCCACTCACATACCTTGATCAGCACGAATGTGGGCATGGCCTGGATGTCGTACTTGGCGCCGGCTTCGGTGTTCTCGTCCACATCAACCTGCAAGAAATGTGATGGCGGTTGCGTGTGCTGCAGTGAGATGTGCAGGCCTGTTGCAGCCCACGAGGGAGGGGGCCAGGCGGCTGGTGCCGAACGGCGGCAGGGGCAACCATTGCTGCACGGATTGGGCAGCGTGCACAAGGCCAAGAGCTCTAAAATGCTTGCCCTTCGTCAGCTGGGTCCGCAAGCGCGGATAGCCAACACTGCTGGCGCTGGCACTGCTGCAGCTGCCGCCGCCGAGTGCTTGTATTCGCTAGGCCCCGCTGCCGCTCGCAAATCCCGCCTCCCGCCTCCAAAGTTGACCTGCTGCTATGCCTCCGTCGTTGCTGCGCTCACTGCTGCAGCAACGGCCGCCACCAACGCCCATGCCGCATTTTTATGGCCGCCTGCATCGCCAACGGCGACTCCAGAGCTGGCGGCGGCGCCGAATCCCTGCTGTTGCGGATGCCACTGCTGTGCCGCCGTCGCCACCACCGCCGTAATTCCCCCATCACCCCGCATGGTGCTCTGCACTCAAAGCCAGCCCTTTCACCCCACGTCGGTGCCGCGGCGGGACCATCCCAACACCCATGCGCACCTTGACGAAGACGACATCGTCGGCAAACTGGGTGGCCCACTGCTCCACCTTGGGGGCAATGGCCCGGCAAGGGCCGCACCTGGGACGGCAGCAGCATGTGGGTGCGAGCGTCGTCGGCGGCAGGAGCGTAGAAGCACTCTGGGGCTGCAGTGGTGGGCACGAGCAGGGTCCTTCCAGGCAGCAGCCACAAGGGCGGGGCCCTCCCTGCCACGACTCTCGTCTTTGGTTGGCATCCTGTCTGGCTAACTCCCTGGCTTGCTGTCTGGCATGCAACCCACTCACCAGGGAGCGAAGAAGTCGATCACCACCTTTCAAGGCGCGCATGCAATGGCGGGCAAAGGGGTTAGGGGTTGACCTAAGAACCAATGAGGGGTTTCGCCCGAGGCAGCTGCTGCGCTGCTCCCCTACGTCAGTCCAGCCCTCCGCACCGTGAAGCAAGGCTGTTGGCAGAAGTTGGCCTGCATGCACGCATGCTACGCTGCGATGGACGCTGCGGCGATGAGACAGGGCCAAACCCTGCCGATGATGCAGCGGCGCCCAGTGTCGCAACCAGCAGCCCGCCGCCGCTCACCAGCTTGGACCCAGCCGCAGCGATGGCCTCATCCAGGGCCGCCAAGGTCTGGTACTGCTTCACCATGGTTGATCGCGGTTACAAAAGGTAACGAGAGGTGCAGCGCGATCGATCAGGAACGCGGGAGGGAGTGGTGTGAGGCTTTGTGTGAGGTGCAATAGATTGGTATCTGGGTGGATGCTTGGAATTGGATTTTCTTTTCAAGACATTCACGCGGTGCTTATTGACGAAGCTTGATGTCCAGGAGCTTCCCTCAGGTGCCTTGCATCACTCAGTCATAAACCGCACAGCCCTCCCATTTGCCCCCAGATAACACTAAATGGTATTGGATTGTTCGCGACCATGCCTGCGATGATTGTCGCACCGGTCAAACGGGACGCCGGTAGTGCGAGGCTGCCGCCCGGCATCAGCATGCTTCAAGCTCACATGCACAATTAGTGCCTGCCTGCCACATCAGCAGAGACATATGCAGCAGCAGGCAGCATATCGGATCCATGCAGGAGCGGGGACCCCTCGAGTCACAAACCCTTGGGGCGGGTCAGCTTGGTTTTCAGCCTGCGCGATGCAGCAAGGCTCGAGCTCGGCGTGACGGGGCTCTCGCTGCAACACCCATTACTGCGTGGGCCCCACGGCTGTGCCATCTCACTAGACGCCAGGATTCCTCGCATGAGATGACAACCTGGCGCACAGTAATCATGCAGCAGCGCTGCTCTACGCAGTGATGGATGGCGGGGCGGGCGCTGCCATGCCTGCATGACCGGGTTCACCAGCTTGATCGGGCCAACGCGCGCCATTATGGATGTTGTGGGCCATGTGTGTGCTTCTCTGCCAACCGCCAGACCCTTCGCGCCAAGAGGCCTCTACTTGCTTGCCCGTGTTGCGGTTACCAACATGCACACCCTGGCTGGCTGCTGGGACCAGCGGGTCCTCCAGGCATTTGACGACGACAAGGGTACAAGCCAATTGATGACTCTGGGACCGGTGATGACCTTAGCAGTGTCAAACCCTTCTATTAGTCATCAGGTGCAAGTCCCGCTTCCAGGAAGCCTTTTGCTCAGTAGGGGCGAGGCAACTTGTTACAGCAGCAATTCTTGATGCTGCCGCCTTGCAGCTGGCAGCATCGCAATGATGGTGCAGCAGGGCCCTAGGACCTGAAACTGGGTCGGCCCCAGCCAGCATTGTTGAGCGGCGTTTGTGCATGCAGTTTCCTCAACAGGCTGGCGGCACGCTTCGCCTGCTGGTATGTATGCTTTATCTGGTCTACTACTGAAACGTCACACAGCATGCAGGCTCGGCGGGGGTGAGTTGATGATGAAGCTTTGCTTGCTTGGTGCGTGTATTGACCCGTTGCCTGGAGATGTAACCTCTTGTAGCCTACTGTCGTCTGCACGGCAGCCTTTGCAAAATCGTGCTTGTGCACTGATCGGGGGTGGTGCGAGCGCATTGCAGAGCACACCCTGGCAAGAGTGGTAGTAGAGTGGTCAAGTCAATCAGCATGCAGCTGAGCAAACATGCCGCCTGGAAGCCTTTGACCAAACATCGACGCATGGCGCAACAGCATGGCAGTGCACTGCATGTTTGTGTGAGGCTTCACAACACACAAGCACACAGCTGTGACGGCCTCGGGCCCCTTGAGATGGAGGCGCCCGCAAATCAGGGGCCAATGGTACGTGATTATGCAAACACAGCCTCGCGGCAGCCTCTGTTTGGGGCGGCGCCCCTGTGCCCCACCATTGCCAATCGCAAGTGCCACACTACCGTGCTCATCGGACCGTCGGCTTGCTCACGGCGTGAACCTCGCGGCGTGAACTCACAGCGGCACCCTGAGCTGGGCGCGGTCGTCCACGTCGCACCTCAGCGACGTGAGGGAGTACGAGTAACCGCCGTCGTCATCGCCGCCGCTCGACGACGACGACGCGGAGAAGGACGAGTCATCGTTGTCGTCACCGGAAGCTGACACGAAGGTGGTGCCGGCGTCGCCGGAGGATGAGGCGGAGGCGTGGTGGAAAACGGAGTCGTGGAACAGCGGGTCCCCGCCGAGCAGGAATGTCCTCAGGCGGCGGTGGCCGGCGGCGGCGGGCCTGGGCTCGGGGGCCGCCTCGGCCGGCGCGGCGGCGGGGGCGGCGCCGGCGGGGCTGGCGGGGGGGACGACGACAGGGCTGGCC